AAAGAAACTTTACAAAATTGTTTATTGAAATATAACATCAGAAAACAAAGCCAACATAGAATCACTAAAGATAAATTTTGCTTTAATAATGTAACATCTTTTCTGAGGGTATTACTTATCTGGAGAAAGGAAAGGAAATGGGTATACCTCGATTTGTAGAAAGTTCTTGATAAGTTGCCTCATTGAATATTAGCTAAGAAATCATATTAGTGGGAGCTGGAGAGAGACTAGTTAACTGGATTACAGGGTGGTTGGATGGGTGAAAGCAAAAAGGTTGGTATAAATGGATCTAGTCAAACTGAATTTTGTTGTTATTAGTGGTGTACCTGAGGGGTAGGTGCTTGAACCTTTGCTTTATTTATATTTATTTACATTAATCACATTAAAAGCATCATAATTTAAAAATTAGCAAAGTTTGTTGTTGACACTAAACTAAGGTATTTCTAGCTATAACAAGGATGCTAAGGTACTACAGAATGACCCATTGGATCAATTGACAAGTTGGACAAATAGTTGAGTATGACACTTAGTGTACAGTAATGTATTTGGGTTATCATAATTTAAATCACATGTTAAATGTACATAGGAACTAATAGTGTGACTGAAGAAAAATATTTTGGCATAATGGCAGTAAAGTCACTGATTGGAAAAATGTGACTAGCAGGGCCCCAAAAGGGTCTGTCTTGGGACCTTTCCTATTTATTATTTATGTAATGATATGGGCTGCTACATAAGCAGCTAGATTTATAAATTCTGTTGATGATACCAAACTGACTTACATGAATTAATCTTTGGAGAATACTGAGTGAATTTAATCAGTGGAAAATGAGTTTCAACACTTGTATATGTAAAATGATGCAATATTTAAGGGGCTTCTTGGTCCAACCTGGATTTATGTCCATTTCATCAAACATCCAGCCCCAACTCTCCCAAAGAACTCAAACCCTCTCTTGAAAGCTCATAATTCTATTATGTCTACATGTCTGAAGGAAATTATTTCAATGGTTAACCTGACCACCCTGTTTGAACACTGAAAGTTTTAAATTTCATACATTTTCCACTTTGCAAAATCTATGTTCTCAAACTCTACAACTATCATCATTAAACACAAAAATATATGATGCATTGGTCCTATGTATTACATTTATGATTTTCAACAATTCAATCAGATCCCCTCTCACCATTCATACTAGAACCTCTCCTTTGAACCCTTTCCAAATATTCAATAACCTTCTTAAAGTAAGGAACCCAAGAGTGAATACAATATTTAAAATGAGACCTAACCAGAAACTTGTACAAAGGAACGATATTTTTAAGTTATATTCAATGTTCTTGTAGACACAACATCAAATATTATTTGCTTTCCCAGTGTCAACAACACACAATTTAGAAAGTCTAAGAGACTGATTAATCACAACACCAATATTCTTTTCTTCCATAACACTATTGATTTTATTTCTATCAAGGTCGTAATTATAGTTTAAATTAAGGTAGTTCACATGCAAAACCTTGCATTGAACATAATTAAATGCTATATGCCATTTCTTTGCCCAATGATCCCTTTGTTAAACAACAGCATTCCAATCCTTCAAGTTTTACAGCACCATCACAGTGATGCTCAAAAGCACCTATAAAAGGAGTTTTGTAAGGACTTCTTAGAGCTCCTATCAAGTCTATCATGACACTCTCTGTTTTGAGCCCATTACTGGATCTATTTAGTCTTACCAAGAAATAAATACTTTTGAATTCAGATCCTGTTATTATTTGTCATGGCATTGGCCATGCAATCATCTGTTTATGTACACAGACAGGCTTACAAATAACTTCATGTGACCTTGTTGGTTGCTATGACTCTGATACTAGGCCTAGACTAGCAGTGTTACATCAACTAATAAGACAAAGAATCTTTATGTTGTATATACACATCAAATATTTGTAACTGAGAAATTAAATCAATGTTTTAAAGTTTAAATTACAATAATTGATATTAATTATTAGCAAGTTCAAGCTAGCAAGAAGAGTTTCAGCAAATCTGGTCATGATCTAAACTGCATTTCTGAACTACTTTCTGCATAGCACGAGGCTGCGAGGGTTGCAATACTGATTGGAGGTTGTTATAGTTCAGCGGCACACTGTAAACATATCTTGTTGATAGAAAAATAGTACAATTTAGTCGATACAAATTAAATTTTATTTTGTTAATAAAGAATCATGATATGGCATTAGCTCATTAATAGCCCCTATGGACCATTTGGTGTTTACAGTCTTCGTGCATTTTTCAAATGTGAAGGACTGAATTTCCTTTATGGCCAACTAAACCCACAACTTTAATATCATCAGCAAACTTGACCAATCTTTCTATCATTCCCTTATCAATATTGTTAATGTATATCACAAAAGAGTAAGGGTCCCAGCACAGAAACCATGAGGTAATTCACTTGCAACTCCAATCCAATTTTACTGAACTCTATTTTTTTATAACTCCTTGCTTCCTCTTCTCTAGTATGTTATGGAAGAAAAGGATCTTGGTTTTTTGGTTGATCAATCTCTATAGCCATCCAAGCAGTGTGCTGCAGTTACTAGTAAGGCACATAAGATTTTAGGTTGTATGTTTAACAAATACTGGATATAAGTTTAAAGATGATATAATTTTCCTGTATAGGTTAATTGTTAGGTCTCATTTCAAGTATCGTGTTCAGTCTTGAGTTCCTTACCTCAAGGAGGGCATTAGAAATTATGGAAAGCATTGAAAGGAAGGCTACAAGGATGATACCTGGGATGGAAAGGTTGTCATATGAGGACAGGTTAAGAAATCTGAAATTGTTTTCTCTTGAAAAAAAGAGAGTTAGAGATCTGATTGAGATATTTATGATTGTTATTTGAACTGATGGTGTACATACATCATCTTTTTTCCTACTTAATAGTGAGAATAGTAGGACAAGGGAATAAAACTTTTGGTAGGGTAGGAGTCATCTTCAGCGAAGGCAGTTTTATTTTTCTAACAAGGTAGTTGACTTTTGAAATGTGTTGCTTTCAAATGTGGTGAATCAAGTTAAGCAATTAGTGAATTTTTATGATTGGTTAACTGTTGGGCTCACCACTCAATAATTACATTCAACTAATCAATAACTCTCATAAGACTTGGACAGCTGGAATAATTGAAACTAGTAATGATCAGAAACACTAATTTTGATTAATTGATTATTTTCATGAATCCTGACACAAACAGTTGAACAATCTTGAATTAATTTAAAATAATAATGAGAAATTATAATAGTTGAATTACTTGGAAGAAGTGAAAACACTAATTTAAATTATTTGATTATTTTACGTGACACAAATCAACGTAGTTGATTTATCACCCAGCTTTAGTGGTGGATGTAGTAAATTTAAGGAAGTTTTAAGGGTTAATTTCATTAACATTATTGATTAGAATGTTTAATGTATCAAATTTTACTAATTTATAATTTTATTTTATTATAGATTGTTTTGCATAGTTAGCTTAAAATATGAATTTAGGACTATCAGAAATCTCTTCAACTGACCAAACCTGGTGACATATTATTGGGATTAAGGCCAAAAATAGTGTTAACAGCAACGGTACCCAAGTGATTAAATAATGAATTCTAATCTTTGTAGGTAAGAATTTAAGAAAAGTATATTCAATTATCTATGTTCATTATCAAATTTAAGTAGGTAGCATGCTCTGATCAGAAGTTAATATTAGTTACTTGCACACTTGCGTTTTGATATCATGGATGAAAAAGTAAGTAGGATATCTTTTATACACTGACACCTTTAAGTCTATGAAATGGTGCTTTGTGCCGTAATATATTAAAAACATATAAATACAAAATTTAATATTAGAATAATAAGACATACTTTTGTAAAGT